GAGATAGCCCCTGACAGGAGTGGTGGGCCTGTTTAGTATCATTCTCCTCCGGAGATATCCCCTGACAGGAGTGGTGGGCCTGTTGAGTATCAATCTCTCCGGAGATATCCCCTTCATGGCCATGGGCCCCATGTCGTATCACCTGTGCCCTGGACCGTTCCCAGATGAACAGGTTCTTTCTGTTCTTAGAACCCCGTTCTGAGACACCCCAGCTATGAGCAGCCACCTCTACGCGGTGCTGGGGACTAGTACTTGCCAGAGTATATCCACTCGTCATGACGCAAGGAAGCTAAGATCTGCTCGCGCCATGCCGCGATTCCTACCAGCATTGGTGCAATATCGTGCATCGCAAGGGCGGAATTGACATCAAGATCCGTCCATGCCCGCTGCCGGTCATGTATAATAGTTAACTTCTTTTTTGTGGTACCGACACATTCGAAATCGGCTTCCGCCCCAAACACTCTTTAATTGCTTAGAAGCCCCACTTGTAGATATTTAGCGCCTTGGCAGTTATGATGGTGTTTTGTATGTTACCAGCACTGTATAATTCTGGAACTTTCGATTTCTTACAGTGACATAGCAGTACAATACAGGCAACTAGTTTATCAACGTTAACGTTAACTGATTCGCATGACTCATCTCCTGCACACCTCCCATTTCTCACATCGTTCCGCACTCTTGCAAGTAAGCAGGCTGTTCAGATGTTCCAAATGGCCCCCAATCTAGCACCGTCGCAGCATGAGCTCATTCGCGACGTGATTCTAAGCAGATCATTAAGTACTGCTAAATGGCTGGCTTGGCTGGTTGCAGTGAGCGCAGCATTAGATATATTCGTTCGAACCTGCGACTTTTCGGCAGTGTCAAAGCACCTTCAAACAAAGCCGGCCGACCGCGAACGGTACTGTAACCCCGCCTATGCTGGACGCCCTTTGCGAGTATCTCCTCACGAAACCGGATCTGTATCTAGACGAAATGGCAATTTTCTTATGGGATGAATTCGATACTGTAGTGACAACCGCCAGCATCAGGAGGGCGCTCAAATCCGTTGGATGGTCTAAAAAGGCAGCTCGTCGGATTGCTGGAGAGCGTAATGCGGACTTGCGGGACTGCTATTTTCATAGCCTGTCTGAATTCCGTTCGTACCACCTTATTTATGTCGATGAGTCGGGATGTGATAAGCGAGTTGGCTTCAGGCGAACGGCCTGGTCCCCTGTTGGAGTAACACCGGTACAAATCTCTCGGTTTCATCGCGGACAGCGATATCAAATACTGCCAGCGTATGCCCAGGATGGTGTTATGCTTGCCCGTGTGTTCCAGGGATCTACTGATGCATCCATATTCGAAGATTTTGTGGAGCAGCTGCTTCATCATTGCGGGAGGTGGCCGGAGCCCAAATCTGTGCTGATAATGGACAATGCATCGTTTCATCATAGCGAGCGCGTGGAACAGCTGTGCAACGATGCTGGGGTAAAGTTGCTGTACCTGCCTCCATACTCACCGGACCTCAATCCCATTGAGGAGATGTTTGCAGAGTTGAAGGCGTTCATAAAGCGCAATTGGAATATATATGAAGAGGATCCAGAGCTCAATTTCGATGCCTATCTAGAGTGGTGCATCGACGTTGTTGGTGCCAGAAAGCTGAGTGCAGAGGGGCATTTTCGTCATGCTGGGATTACTCTGGAACCACTGCCTCTGAGCTTCGACGGGATCCACCAGTGATTCAACACCCCGCTCTTGTGTCGATTAGAACCTCGATGACTAATCAGGACAACCCTGCGTGTCAAGAAGTCGGAGGCATTATTTCAGATAATAAATAATAGCTATGCCCTGATAAAACCTCTCAGAACTCAGTTGTGGCTTAGACTTTGATCTTATCTGGGTAACTAGTAAATGATCTTCCTAGGTTCGTCTATAGCACTTTACGAATATCATGTTGAGAAACTGGCCTTGTTGCTTAATATTAATATACACCACTTCCTCTTCTTGCTTTTTATACGTTCTCGAGACCATGATTGGCCCTCTAAGCGCGACAGCCTCTCATTTACACATGTCAGATGACCTCTCCAACTCCGACTTCAGATCTGTTTCTTGGAATGTTTAATCCTGCAGTTCTAATGCCTCCTCCATCTTCTTCCAAACAAAGACTATCCGTCTTATCTCGGTAAAGTTTCACTACTTTTTCATGTATTATACAGAAAATGTCCTTCACGCACGGCGACTACACGGTCGCATGGATTTGCGCCTTGCCGTTGGAACTGGCAGCAGCAAAGGCCATGCTGGACGACGTTCACCCTCCGCTTCCCCAGCCAGAATCCGACCACAATGTCTACACACTCGGGAGAGTTGGCAGCCACAATGTAGTAGTGGCCTGTCTGCCTGGCGGTGTCTATGGAGCAATATCCGCTACAGGGGTAGTGTCACATATGGTCTCTACCTTTCCAACTCTCCGGTTCGGGTTCGGATTGATGGTGGGCATTGGGGGCGGAGTCCCGAGCCCAAGAAATGATATTCGCCTTGGTGATGTTGTGGTCAGCAGGCCAACTACCAATTCAAGTGGTGTTATTCAATTTGACTACGGCAAGACACTGCGCGGCGGACGATTCCAGCACACCGGGTCGCTTAGTAAACCTCCACCAGTGTTGTTGAAGGCCGTGTCTCAATTAGAGAGTGGTTGTATGACCGGGGAAAGACCGACCTTCGAAATTCTGAATGCTACACTGCACAAAAATGAAAAGATAAGGGAAGAGTTTTTGCGACCGAAGGTCGACTGGCTATTCCCACCAACCTACGACCATAAGGATAGCGAACATAACTGTTCGGCATGTGATCAGACACAGTTAATGGACCGTTCTGAGCGGGGAACTGATCAACCTTATGTTCATTATGGCTTGATCGCTTCCGGAGATCAGGTCATGAAAGATGCCAAGACTCGCGATTCCATTGCTCGGGATCTAGACATACACTGTTTTGAAATGAAGGCTGCTGGGCTCATGGACGAACTCCCATCACTAGTCATTCGCGGCATTTGTGACTACTGTGATTCGCACAAAAATAAACAGTGGCAAGGATATGCTGCGCTTGCGGCTGCTTCGTACGCTAAGGCACTTCTGTCGGTTGTTCCCACTTATTACCGCAAGGAATCACGTGATCTGAGGCAGCCAGTTTGGATGGTCCCTTCCGGAGGAACCCACGGTTCGCAGGTCGGGAAGACGAAATCACCAGAATTGAAGGATTGTTTATGCAACTGAACGGACCTAGCAAGGTTGCTATCTGCGGACTAGGCGGTGTTGGAAAGACGCAGATCGCACTTGAACTGGCTTACCGCATAAGAAATCGAGACCCTAAATGCTCGATTTGCTGGATTACATGTACCAGCTATGAGAGCGTGGAACAAGCCTATATGACCATCGCCTCGAAGCTAAAAATGACTGATATGAAGCCGGCAGAAGTGAAAGAAAGGGTTAAAGCTCATCTTAGCCAGGAGAGTGCCGGGAAGTGGCTTGTTATCTTTGATAATGCAGATGACATAGGAATGTGGAGCACAGACAACACTACTGATATAGTATTAACAGACTTTCTTCCTGAAAGTGAGCAGGGCCATATTCTCTTCACCACGCGCAGCCGTAAGGTAGCTGTGAAACTAGCGTCTTCCCATGTGATTACAGTCACTGAGCCGAACACAGAAATTTCTATCCAAATTTTAAAGAACTCACTGGTTGAGAAGACATTGCTTAATGATCGTATTACAGCTCTGAGTCTTCTTGAGCAGCTGGCTTGTCTCCCTCTGGCGATCACCCAGGCGGCAGCATATATCAATGAAAACAGCATTGGCCTCTCTGACTATCTTCAGCTTCTGCGGGACCAGGAGCCACATGTGATTGAACTGCTGAGTGAAGAATTTGGGGATGAGATGCGCTACAAAGACATCCAGAACCCTGTTGCTCTGACTTGGTTTATCTCCTTCCAGCAAATCCAACAATTAAATAAGCTAGCAGCAGACTATCTGTTATTCTTTGCCTGCATCAATCCTCGTGACATTCCACAGTCCTTACTTCCCCAGCCGAGGATGAGAAAGAACCAACAGTTCAGCCGGCAAATATTGAAATCTGCCGACCGACTGAGCGAAGTTTTCCCAGATGATGATCATGCAAATCGGCAGGTGTGGCGGGAATATCTGCCGCATGCTCTTTCACTAATAGCAGAAGCTGAATTTCGGAAGGAGCAAGAGAAATACATTGATTTGATTCGAAATGTTTGTAGTTGTCTTTCTAGTGACGGACGATGGAAGGAAGCGGAAGAGCTGCAAGTGCAAGTGTTAGAGCTGCGCAAGCGAGTGCTAGGACCCGAGCACCCTGATACTCTTAGCAGCGTGGCCAATTTAGGATTCACCTACTGGAATCAGGGACGATGGAAAGAAGCGGAGGAGCTGCAAGTGCAAG